CCAGCGGGACAGTCTGTGTTCTGCCACTAGCAAGTTTCTTTGCAATAAAAATAAACCCTGCCGCTAGTTCATCAAATGGATTAGCTTTTGCCTCTATTTTCAGCTTTTTTCAGGCCTCTGGCATGACTAGCTTTAACCTTCTGGTGGTGATTTCATGTTCTCCAGTATTTGCCTTCTGTGGTAATTTGGATAGGATAAAGTTGTTTGTTTGTTTGTTTCCTTTTTCTCAAATAAATTGGTATTTAACTTTTTTTTTTTTTTTTAAATTTACATTTTTAATGGCAAAAGGACTCTTCTCTGTGTTCTTTCCCTCCAAATTTCAGGAAGATGAAAGGCCCGTTGCGAGGTATCTACGTCAGGAGACCGTGTACTCCCAGGTGGTGCTCACAGCAGCTCAGCGTAGCTAAAATGTAGCTGCAAACCACTGCGGTTCCCTGGCCCAGAGCACCAATCCTATTCCCCTGCATCACCTTTCCTGCAATGCTGGTGACAAACCCAGCTCCCAAAGGTTTTTGTCTTGCGCTGAGCACAGTTCCCATGGCAGAGCAGTGCCTGCAGGCATTCTCTGAGCAGCTCACTCACTGTCCTCTGGATGAACCCCTAAATGCTCTCACATCAAATAAATCCTTGCAGCCAGGTCCCCTCTTGGAACTGACCTCTCCATGGGCGGCTTTAAAAGCACAGCTAATACTGCTGTGCATTAGGGATGTCCCTAGCACAGGTGCATGTTTTGAAATGGGTAAAGTTGCATTCTCTTTTGTTTTCTTTAGGTGCTTCACATCCCAGTTCCAGTTCCTTCTATCTGGTTATTTTTCCTTTTATTGGGGAAGTGGTATGACTGGAGTGCTCTGCTGGCACCTGTGGCCAATATTTTGTACTGTTTTAGAGAGTGATGGGGAAAAGGAGCATATCTGGCTCTGTTTCTGAGAGGGACTATGATGTGGAGATGTATGAGTTGCAGATGGTACAGGGAGGTTTTTGCTTTATCAGCTGTGGAAGAAAGCAGGATTCTGTGTTTTACAGCAAAGTATTTAGTGGGAAAAAAAAAAAAAAAAGTGTTATTCTCCCTCACCTCCCACTGTTTGCCCTGTGGAGAGCAAGAAGAGAAGGAGCGAGGGTGAGGATATTTGTGCTTGTGCACATAAAAGCTAAGGGTAACTCTCTGCTCTTCTTGATGAAGTACAGGAACAGCCAAATATTAGTGCATGAAAAAATATTATAGCTTCTTTATTACTATTATTATTATCAGAGCTTCTTTCAAAGCCATCTAAGTCCAAGTATTTAAACATTAGCCTTTTTAAAAAGGATGAAGAAAAAGTTATGGAAACAACCTGGTTTCATTCTGCCTGGGGTTGTAAACTCAATAAGACGAGGCCTCCTTTTGCCCCCTTTACTGATCCTAACAAGTGCTTGAATTAATGTAGAATCAGGCTACTGACAACCATTGTCATGCCATGGCCTTGGCATCTTCACCGTGCTGACTGACCCCATCCATCCTGTATCAGCCTGCTTCTGAAATGGACCGCGAGGAGCTCTGCAAGTGGTGGGGAATTTTTATGCACTCTCTTGGCCTGTACGGACCTTTCACATGAGCACGGCGGCTTTTTATGACGACTTCAAATCTTCAGGCTCAGTGGATCTTATGCTGGGGCTCGTAAGGTCTGAGATGCGTGGCTTTTCATCCCCTCAGTGAGGTGTCTTTGGAGCCTGGTAACTTGTACATTTATTATGCATTTCATGCAACTTGACAGGTTTCGCATGTCTTTGAAGAATTGTTTAGGTGAAGACTATTCAAAGGTGGGCAAAGGGAGTTTTGATGGTCTACAGCAGAGGGCTTGGAAGAGCTTGTGGCTGTCTGGCCCTTTACAACTCCTGTAAATACTCTTTGGATTGCTAAAGCATCTGCGTAAGAAACATCTGTTTTGTTGTGAAAGTCCATGGAGAATCATGGCTTTGGATGAGAAAGTATATTTGTATGCCTAACGCAGTCATGTAGGAAAGGGTTGTGAGCTGTCTGTGTCCACATCAGCCTGACCAGCTCTGTAAGTGTGAGCACCGCTCGTGCTTGTCTCTGCTATTGTACCTCACCTCAGTTACCGAAAATGTGAACCATGGGTTTGCTGGGAACAAAATGTGTTGTACCACTTTCCATTCCTTAAGAAGGGTCAGTGCTAGGCCTAAGCAGCTTGGCTGTGGTCCTGTTCATTAAGTAGCTGTCACTGTCTGAAAGGATGAGTCAGCAGGGTCTTCATTCATTGCTGGCTGAAAGCATTAAATGCCAGAATGTGTTTATTCCTAAATATACCTGCACTGTCCCCTACACAGGACACAATTTTGTGTGGGCCTGAAAGAAGTCTGGCTCCACGAAGCTGCCATGAAACGTCAATACTGCGGACCATTTCTGACATGCAGGAGCTTATACTAATCCAACTTAAGGTTTATGCAGACCCAGTCATTCATAAGTCATTCAGTCACCCAGCCCCTCATGTGTGCTCTGAGCCCCTGGAACACACACGGCCATCTGCTGTTTTAGTGGAGGATTAATTTCTAGGAAACTCTGGTGTCTACTATAAAAGCTGACATACTTACATCCATGTTTGGCCAATTAAAAAAAAATATTTTTATTCTGGGCAATAGTTGAATCTCACTCAAGATAAATAACGCACGTGCACGTCTTGAGATTGGGCCAGCATGTACAGTTTTCAGAGCAATACAGCCAGCTCTGTTAAATCCCGTGACTCCAGGTGAAGGCTTTGTCGCTGATTGTCCCTGTCCTGTAGATGTGTATGGAGATGATCAGGTATTGTGTCTTTCTGAGGAAGAAAACCAATGCAAATAGAGGTAATAAACCACAACATGGTGTCATAATGGAGACATAAATCTATTTACTTTATTACTATTATTTTTAGTAGTAAATGATAATGTGTGTAGTACTAAACATAAAATGCTTATACGAGGACAATGAGAAATGTACTGTCAGCACAGGGTAGGGGCCTGCAGCTTTGTCAAGTGATGTGACAACTGGCTTTTTCTTTTCCAAACAGGAGGAAATTTGGAAAAGATAAATGTATCTGGAGGCAGTATTTAATATTGCAAGCAAACTTTATGGGAACATGTAAATAAAAACCTGTAGCTGCTCTGAACTTCATTTACAAAGTACATTTGCTGGGGACTGTTAGTACTGCTGTTACCCAGTGAAATGCAGCAGGAACTGGTAAGGCTGCTGCTTGCTACAGCAGCAAAGTATCCTCATCATCATTAGCTCCTGGGAGTGAGATGATTATTCATGTGCCAGGAAAACCAGCCCTCCTATGCTGCCAGATCTATACATGCCTATAGGCACTACTACACATGCCATAGCGTTAGGAGCTCACACGTCACCCACATGCTGCCATGTCCATATGGAGGGACATTCACTTGCTTCACATGTGCCTGGTGTTAGCTCAGTCAGATTCTGTATCTGGTGACAGTAGTCGAGACTAAGGCAATCTCAAAATTCTCTTGGGGTTTCTGGATGGAAATTCACAGAAACACAATCAACTAGGTTGGAAAGGACCTTGAAGCTCCTCCAGTCCAACTGTTAACCCAGCACTGGCAGTTCCCAACTCCCCCAGATCCCTCAGCGCTGGGTCAGCCCGACTCTTAAACACCTCCAGGGATGGGGAAACCACCACCTCCCTGAGCAGCCCATTCCAACACCTAACAATCTGTTTTGTAAAGAAATGCTTCCTAATATCCAGTCTAAACCTTCCCTGGTGCAGGCCGTTCCCTCTTGTCCTATCGCTTATTATTTGGTTAAAGAGGCTCATCCCCCCTCTCTGCACCCTCCTGGCAGGGAGTTGCAGAGGGCCAGGAGGTCTCCCCTCAGACTCCTCTTCTCCAAACTGAACCCCCCCAGTTCCCTCAGCTGCTCCCCATCAGACCTGTTCTCCAGACCCTGCCCCAGCTCCGTTGTCCTTCTCTGGCCACGCTCGAGTCATTCAATGTCCTTTTTGTAGTGAGGGGCCCAAAACTGAACACAGGAATCGAGGTGCGGCCTCACCAGTGCCAAGTACAGGGGTAAGATCCCTTCCCTGTCCCTGCTGTTTGTTACCCATGCTGTGAGCATTGGTATACATGCACTTAAGATGGGTCAATGTTTTGCCCTCTTCCCCCTTCAAATCCAGTTTAAAGCTTTGTCAATGAGCCCAGCTAATTCCTGCCCCAAGATCCGATTCCCGCTCTGGGACAGGTGCATTCCATCTAATGCCAAAGGTCTGGTGCCCTGAATACCAACACATGATTGAAAGATCCAAAGCCCTGCCAGTAACACCAGTCTTAGAGCCACCAGTTCATCTGCTGAGTTCTGTATTCTTCATCCATCCCTGCACCTGAAGGGTTGGATGAGAACACAATTTGTGCCCTCGACCCCTTAATTAGTTTCCCCAAGGACGTGAAATCTCTCTTCATTGCTTTAGGACTTCTCTTGGTAATGTCATCACTAATTACCTGAAAAACCAGGAGAGGGTAGCAGTCCTTGGGTCTCACTCGAGCGGGGAGTTTTGCCATTAAGTACTTCACCCGGGCCCCAGGGAGGCAGCAGACTTCCCTGTGAAGTGGGTCTGGTCTGCATACGGGGCCTTTGACACCCCTCAGTATGGAGTCACCCACTACAATGACCCTTCTGGGGTTCTTTTTAGAACTGGTTTTAACACCTGGTCTAGAGTGACCAGGCCTTGGTGAATCTTGGTCTTCCTCCTTGTTTATCTCATAGAGAGAGTGTCAAAGCTTTTCTGTTTTGAAGAAAGGTTCTGCTTGGGATTCAGGGAGAGTGGTTTCAAAAAGCAAGATTTAACTGAAAGGAAGGAGACCGCACACTTCAGAATAAATACATTTTAAAAACTTCTTTTACTATTCCCTAAAAACTATGCTACAAGAATGGAAATATAAATTGCATGAAAATGGAGAGAAAGCTCTATGTTCTGGGGGTACAGGGTAAATTTTCAAAGCAACTAAAGCAACTAGAGAAAATCAGGTGGAGGGTTGGACTCAGCAGCCCAGGCAATCTTCCTCTTCTTTTCTTCTCTGTAAAAAGCATCATAGATGGAATCATTGGGGACAGTTTTGGCTGGAGCTGGGATGTCCGCGATGCCAACATGATTTTTTTTGCCTATTCTGGAACTGGTGGTGATGGTGTAGGCGTTGCTTCGATAGTACTTCATGGCGGACATGCAACAAAGTTCCCTCACCCCCCTCCTGATGTTTGAGTTATAGATGTAGTAGAGGACTGGCTTGGCGGCTGAACAGCTGAAAGAGAGCCAGGTGATGGCCAGGAAGAGCAAGGAGCTCTTGCTGCCATCTGTTTCCTGCGGGTGCCACAGCTGTAGGACATAGAAAGGGAGCCAGGAAAGAAGAAACACCATGTGGATCACCAAGAACATCTTGGTGGTTTTCACCTTTCTTCTGGGGACAATATTCATTGTCCTTCTGACAGTCCCCTCCTTGATGCCTACTCTCCAAATATACATGATGAGCCGCTGGTAGAAGAAGATGGTGATGCTGGCTGGGATGAGAAAGACCAGCAGAAGGTGGGTGATGCCGTAGGTGGCTCCTTGCAAAGAATCAGGGGGGAAAAAGGGACAGTGGTGATCGCTGCTGGAGCCGTAGAAGACAAAAGCCGGTGCTGCAAATGCCGCACCCAGGAGCCAAGAGGCCAGAATCATCTTCTTGCCTTTCTCCCTGGAGACTTTGAGGCTCAGGGGATAGATGACAGTATAGAAGCAATTGATGCTTATCCAGAGGAGCATGTCAATCTGGACCGCAGGGGTGAGGTACTGCACGTACCGTACCAGCTTGCAGATGAAGTTCCCCAGGGTCCAGCGGCCGTAGGTCAAGTGGAGCAGCAGGAAGGGCATGCTGGCGATGCTGAGGAGAAGGTCTGCACAAGCCATGGACACCACAAAGTAGTTGGTGGCAGCCAGTGTCTTCCTACTGCGGTGGATCACTAGGCATAGGATCGAATTTCCAGAGATGGAAACCAGCCACAGCACTGCCCAAACCGTGGTGGCTGCTGCAATTTCCCCCGGTCTCAGGTTGTAGAGCAAGGCAGTGTGGTTCCCACCTGATCTGGGCGCCATGGGGGACCATGTACCCTCGTAGGCAGCAGGAGGGGTGGAGGTTTCAGGGTAGGTCTTGTTCTGCAGCAGGAGCAGTAAGGTGGGGAGAAGAACAGGAGCGGTGCTGTTAGCCATGCTGTGGGCAACCATGGCCACGTCTTTCGCTGAGGCTGCAGAGAGAGAGAGAAGAGGGCAGGTTTTATTATTAAGCAAGTGTATTTGAAAAGCCTACGGTAACCAGTGAAAGATAATTTCAAGTTGTAGATGTGCTACTTCAAGCAGCAGATTTCAGGGAAACCGCCAGAAATCTCTGGGGAGACTCTGTGCTGCAGCAGAGCCGTGAAGTTTCAGGCTGGCCTTTCTGAAGGGCCTGGCTGGTTTGGGACAGGCCTTTCTGTCCTGAGAAAGAGAAATGTGCCTGTCAGAGGCAGAGGCTGGGGGCAGTTTCACCCGTGTCACCGGAGTGTCCTGCAAGGGGAGTGAGCGGCATCTGCCCCGCTGATCCCAGGCACGAGCCATACTGCCCAGTGCCCGTGGCAGCGACCGAAACCCAGAGCAGCCGTGTCCCTGCTGCCTCGGCTTGACCGCAGTCCCTCAGGTAGAGGAGAGACCAGGGAGCTGTTTCCGAGGGGCGAATGGGAAGAAATGCTTTCCAGCGTCACCTCATCTTCCTTGGGCAGGCTGCCAGCAGGCAAACCCTGCCTTCAGCCCAAGGGGTTAGTGACACTGTTCCTGAGACCCGGGGGTAGGACAGCTGCGCTTACCCAGCAGCATCCACTCCCTGGAACATTGGTGTTCCTGTCCCTGCGGGCCCTGAGCCTCCCTGTTTCTGGGCATAACTGGGGAAGGTAAGCGGGGTCTGGATTGGAAGGCAAAGGAGGGCTCAGCACAGCAGAAGGCCTGACACCAAGCTGGGTGGGCGCTGCTCCCTGGGCAGCCTCCTCAGCCCTTGCAGAGCGGGCAAAGTTTCCTCAGGAGTGGGACTCTGTCTGTCCTAAAGAGTCTGTCCTGAGCATCCGCGCTGTCCCGGCACATCCTGGCCCCGTTATCTCGCTGCCCCACCCACGGGAGCGTTTCCCTCTGCCACCCTGAGAAGAAGGGGGCAGGACCCCCTCCCGCCAAGCCCTGCAGAAGAGGTTTCAATGCCGGGCAGCGTTTGGGTTGAGAAGGAAATGTCTGGGGGAGGAGGGCAGCGTGCTCAGGCAGCCGAGCTGGGGGGGATTCCAGCAGCAGCGCAGCCTCGGCTGAACGGTGCCCAGAGGCGACTGCCC